GCTAACCAGAAGGCTGGCGGTTCAAACCCACCAGCCACTCCTCGGAAGGAAGATGGGGCAATCTACTTCCGTAGTGATACTGCCTCAGAAACCCAAGGAGAGGTCGCAATGAGTCGGGTCCGACTTGACGGCACATAACAACAACAACAACATGAGGCTAGGGTCCCTCTCAGGGCCTTGGAAAGACCTATGCAAGTGAGGGGCTCTGAGTTTAAGCTCCATGAGCTTCACAAAGAACCTGCCTCTCAGTTCAGGAAGGAACGAATCCTTTTCCTAGTCCTTTAGTTTGTATCTTTTCCTAGCTATGTCTAGGCCACACCAGCTCAGACACTTAACTATTTTTTGCTTCTTTCTTCTGTCTCTTATCCTTTTTTGTTGTTGTTTTTAGTCATTGTATATAGTTATAATAATTATTTTGGAACTAGGTAGAATAAAGATTTCTTGGCATCCCTGGGCAAATGATTAATGTGCTTACCGTTAACCAAAAGGTTGGAGGTTTGAGCCTACCCAGAGGTACCTTGGAAGAAAGGCCCAGCAATTTACTTTGGAAAATTCAGCCGCTAAAAACCCCTATGGAGCACAGTTTTACTCTGACACACATGGGGCAGACATGAGTTAGAACTGATTCCATAACAACTAACTTTTTTCTTTCTTTCTTTCTATTTTAAATAAAAAGACTTCTTTAGTGGATGATGTGAAACTCAGTCTGTATGACCATGACACCAGAAGAACTAGATGGTACCTGACCACCACTGTCAACCACTTGGAAAGGGATCAGTGCAGGAGATCCTAGATAGAGTGGGAGAACAATGTGGAACAAAACTCAAAATCATGAAAAAAAAAAAAAAAAGACCTAGTTTACTGGTCTGATAGAGCCTGGGGAGACCACTGAGACTATGGCCCCTAGTTACCCTTCAGGTCTGGAATTGAACCCAGTCCTGTGGCTTCCAGCCCAACAACAGACAGGCATATAGAACAACCATTCATGGGAGAACAGGGCAGTATTTGCACAGGGAGATAGCTCAGAGGGCAGGAATGCATAGGAAAGCACACAGAGAAGAGGTAACTACAGGGAAGGAGTCGGGAGAGAGCTATTACACTGTGGGAAATTGCAGTCAATGTCTTGAAACAAAATGTGTATGTACTACTTTATGGAAAAAGAATTTGCTCTGCAAACTTTCATCCAAATCACAATAAAAATTTAAAAATAAAAAAGACTTCATGTTTTGTTCTCATAGTTCAGAGGCAAGGCTACATGGTTCCCAAGGACAACCAGGCATTTACCACATGGCCTGTGGAGTAACCTTCATTAGTTATACTTTTCTAACATTTCAAACAATTATTGCCTCCCTCTTCCTCAAACCTGCTCTTCTTCCTGCCATTTCAGTGAATGGCATCACTGTTCTTGAAGTCAGCCAGATCTGAAATACCAGAGCTTGTCAGTCCCCCCACGCTCCCAACCCCCATCTGATGATAAAATGACCTGCCCCAGGCTCACAGAAGCAGACGGGAGAATCAGAGCCACTGACTCTGGATTTCAAAATGCACTTAGTAGTGAAACCATACTCTGTGATAGCAAGTCTCTCATTTCCTAGATGATTAAGACTACTTTGTGCTTTTTAAAGTCTTCACAAATTCTCCTGGGAACAGAATGAAGTGCCTTTCATCACCAAGACCCTGTGGCTCAGCCCTTCATTCCTCCATTAGCATAATTCTTTAAAGACACACAAGTGAGCCCCACTTTCCATACTCGAAGATGACATTCCTGATGGTCAGCCAATGATATTCAGAGAGGCTCTTCAGGGTGGCTGAGGAGATTTGTGTGTGACCAATAGCCCTTTCCACACTGTGTGGTTCTGCTGATTCTTCCCCACCCCTTCCCCTGCAACCCTTTGGTACTTTTGGCAGTTTTCTCAGATTTACATTTGGCTCAAAACCCTGGTCTTGGAACTAGAGGCAGCTTCTGGCTGAGCCCATGCAGCTGCCTCTTCAGCTGCTGCTATTCCCCACCCACCTCAGCCAGCTCTGGGGTGGGAGGTAACACTTCAGTGTGAACTTGAACTTCTTTAGTGCTCTCCAACCGAAGCCAAAGCCATGCTTACCTGATGACAGGAGACTCCCACTGCTGCCGCTGATAATCTTCCCTTTGCTCCCCATGTTGGCCAGCTTTGAGGTCTTCAGCGTGCCAGTCTCGGTCAGGTCAATAGCAATCTCACTCAGACTTCTTGCAGCATGGATCTTAGACTGGAATCAGAAAAGCAACTGGGTTATATAAAGGAGCTTAGATTCAAAGAAACATTCACCTGTGAGAGATAACAGTAATTCCTTGCCTACTTGTCCCGCTGAAATTTTAGCACACTGACTTATCTCCCTGAGTTGCAGCATTTTTGTTTGTGTCACTTGGCCCAGTCACTAACATGCTCGGCAAGAGTGTGTATGGCTCGTGAGTTGACCTCCGTGATGTATTTGTAAGCCTATTATCCTATAGGCTGTACCATGCAGTGCTGAAAAACATGGCTCTGGAGTCAGACAGACCGGGGGTGGGTCTGATTTGGGGAATGTTAGTTAATTTCACTGAGCCTGGTTTTTCCCAACTAACAATCCAGGAAACCATCAGCTGCCATCCAAGGTCTTGTTACAGTCAAAGGAGGTAAGGAGTATGAAGGGCTTCCCTTAATTCCTTCCTATTCCCTTATTGGCCTTCCCTTTCTGCCTGGTACCTAGCTCTCAATAAACAGTAGTGATTATTAAACAAAGAGGAAAAAAATATTCAGCTTTGTGAGTGACACAGGATATTTGAAATGAAGTCATGCAGTTCAATAAATTCTGAAGTGATTTAAACATCTTAAATTGTTAGCCATGTGGCCATGGAAATCTAGAAGAACTGCGAAGTCACTGCACTTTAGTCCAACAATCATAGTATATATAAGTATAAAAACAAACAAACAAAACTCATTGCTATCAAGTTGATTTGACCCACAGTGACCCCTCCTTGGGTTTCTGAGGCGGTATCCCCACGGATGTAGATTGCCCAGTCTTCCTTTCGAGGAGTGGCTGGTGGGTTTGAACCACCAGCCTTCTGGTTAGCAGTCAAATGTCTTAGGCATTATACTACCAGAGTTATACACATGTGTATATACACATGGAGAGAAGCCTCTAGAACAACTACTAATTTGGATACTCAGGTCTCAGCAATAAGTGCTATATACAGTGCTTTGCTTCTGTTTGGGAGCTCTGATGGCATAGTGTCTAAGGCATTTGACTGCTAATCAGAAGGCTGATGGTTCAAACCTACCAGCCACTCCTCAAAAGGAAGACTGGGCAATCTACTTCCTTAGAGATACCACCTTGGAAACCCAAGGAGAGGTCACTATGAGTTGGAAACAACTCCATGGCAGTGAGTTTGGTTTTTTTTTTTTTTTGCTTCTATTTTGATATCTAAATGTTTAGGCCCAAATCTTCATATTGTAGTTAAAACTCTTTTCCATATATTCCACTTATTAGTTGGCCCAGTTTTGGCTAATAGTCACGGCAGGTCAGAATAATTTGAAAAGAATTCTGTATTTACAGTTTTTACATTCTTAAGAGCAGTTGTCTTTAGTAGAAATATCTGCTTTAGTGATTGCCTTCAGGTAAGTGAAAAGTTGTTTGCATTCCTTCCAGTGTGTTTGACATGTACGCCCCTCCTTCCCCCAGGAAATTAAGTTTTGCAAAAATTATGTAAGGCAAAAGGCTTTACCTATACTAGGAATTCTGTGAAAACAACTACACATGTCAGTATCAGCCACACATCTGCTAATTTGTCTTTCTTTGGTCACTGACTATAGCATGCATGTGGACGGAACTAGATCATGGTCAAAATTAAGGTTTCTGATCAATTAACATGCTGTCCAACGAGGCCAATGGTGCAACAGTTAAGTGCTCTGCTGCAACTGAAGGGGTGGCACTTTGAATCCACCCAGAGCTCAGGGGGAGAAAGATCTGTGCCACCATGGCTTTTTCTAGCCTAGGAAACACTATGGGGAAGTTCTATTTTGTCACATGGAGCTGCTATGAGTTGCAATCAACAACAACATGTCTAGCCTGTGGAAGACAAGGTCTTTCCCACACGTAGGTGGAAACAGGTGCAAGGGTAGATTATGAAGGCCATGGAAGGATTCGTACAGGGGTAGATTATTCAATAAGCAAGGTAAGCACAAGCTTGTGCTTACCTTGCTTACTGGGTATTCCATGACTGTCGGGGATTGTAAATTTAGAAAGAGGCTTTGATCCTGTAGGAAGGTACTGTGGGGTTGGGAGAGAAACAGGTGCCAGCCTTCCCTAGAAGCACAATCTTTGATGCAGTGAAAAAAGGTGAAATTGTTCACTACAGATTAGTAAATAAGCACAGGTAAGCCTGTGCTTACCTTGTTTATTAGGTAATCTGACACTGTGTATGTATTCCACTACTCCTGATCTCCCTTATTTATAGTCTTCCTCCATGCCCGGGTGTCAGCCCAGGTGCCCTCCGCTGTCCACCACAGACTGCTGCTCTGCCTTTGCCCTCTATCTGGCCTGGATGTTTCCGTCACCATTGTTGCATGACAATGACTTCCGACTGTTGGGCCCTTTCCTCATGCTAACACGGTGAAAGTTGGAGGGGCAGAGGAAATGCTGCATGTTTTTGCTTGTTCTGTTCACCTAGGTATGAACTGGCTTCCTCCTCACCCTCTCTATCCCATTGGTCCTCCCCTCTACTTATGTCTTTTTTTTGACCTCAACTTTTTTCCTTGCATTCACAACCATGCCAACTTCAAGAGCAAGCTTCCTTGTTCATGAAATAATCTCGGCTTCCAGGCCCTCTGAGCATTCTGGCTTGCAACAGAAAGCAGGAAGGGACTTTTATTTCACTTTGACACAGCATATCAACAGCACCCATCTGGTTGAGCTTTACCTTTCAAGCAAGCATAGCAAGCACAATCCATTACTTCCTTTCTCCCAGCACTATTCTTTTACTAAGGCATTCAATGCGTTAATCAGAAGGAGCCCCCATTTATAGTTATGTACTAACTCATGGAGACGTTGACCAACACAGCAGAGTGGAGAAGGGCCCAGGCTTTGAAGTCAGAATGACCTAGATTAGAATCTTGGCTCTTTCCAAATGATCAGTTTGACCCTGGGCAAGATCCATTCTTAACCTCTCTGATCCTCAGATTCCTCTTTGTGAAATGGGGATCTTAAAACCCACTTAACAGAGGCGTGGTAACGACAGATTCAGATAATATATGTAAAGGCCATTGGGATTGGGATAGAGAGAGGATATGAATTGGGGCCTGGTTAGTAATTTGCCACATGAGGTTAGATTGGCGGCTGATGTTGTGGAGATCTCATCCAACACATGGAAGACCTGTTCCCCGCCCCACCCCTACTCTTTCCACATATCAATTTCAGACACCAAAAAACATACATATGGAAGGGGGAGCAACAGATCTGCTCTCCAAGGGAGATTAGATTCTTACAAGCTTTAAGAAACATTTGATTCTCTCTGGAATGGAAAGATCACAATGCCCTAGCAGACTCAATTGGAGAGAAAGAGCTAAATAGAAATGAGTACTGATGGGAGACTCTCACCTTGCAAAGTCAACTCTCTGGGCCTACCTAGAAGACATCTGCAAATCTTGCTATGAGGTCCTTGCCCTATAAATGTTACTCAGTTTTATTACTGCTATCCTGGAACACGGTTTAATTGTCCCCTTACATGGTTTTAAATTTACATGTGACTCTAGTTGGAATGAAGACTATTAGACTGGATCAAGAGAGAAAAAAAAAAAGAGAGATTAAGAAGAAGGAAATGGTTTTGGATTGAAAGACAGTTTAAGAAGTCTCCACCTTGATTTCAGAGGATAAGAAGCATTTAATGTTTAAACAATTTGAGTTTTCAAACATTTTCCTCCAAATTTCAGACCATTCCCTCCCTCTGGACTACAAAGGTTGCTGGGAGCCAGCTGAAAACAATTCTAATCTTTTGGGACAGTATATACAGCCCATTTTCACACAAATAACTTTTGCATGATACTTTTTTTTGCAAACTGTGCCACCCCCTCCCATGCTAGCTCAATATTTATGTGGGTGTGTTGTATGTGAAAAATGTGGTAAGTCACCAGTCTTCACTGGTACCTGCATAGTCTTCCATTCTGAATGAGCAACATGGAACTAACCAATACACTCAGTTCCTGGTGATGGAGTGGTCCCCTGATGGAAATGTGGGAGGGAACTGATGGAGTGAGAGAGACAGCCAGCCAGACAGCCAGAGAGACTGGTTTTCTTAAATGATTTGCACAATGACCATGAAAGAAGAAAATAACTGAGTGCCAGAGAAGGAACATGAGCCTTCTTGGCTAACCCCCTTGCTGATTCAAACCACTAGACTGCACTTGTCTCCCTGGGGTTGATAAACATCACTTGAGAGGCCTGGGCTCTGCTGAAGCACTTCAGAGAAAAGAATGGTTGGCATGATTCTATACAGTAGAGTGTGAAGCAATGATCAGTATGCCAGCCCACACTGGCTGTTCAGAACTAGTTTGAAGCTTTTCCTTCCAGGCCTGTCAGCCATCACTCATCCATAGGTCATTCTGCCCACCGGAGATGGCTCTCAACGCCATTATATAAAGACCAACATTCCAGAAATGAAAGGTGTTGTAATGTAGTTCCTAAGGGAATTTTTTTTTTAAATCACCCCTGACTTAATTTGGGGACTTTTTAGGGAATGTAACCTTTATGCGAGTGTTGGCCGGGGAACAGTTTGTTAGATTAATAAAGAGAATAATAAAAGATAGCACTTATTTCCTAAAGCAATTTCATAAACATTGTGTCATCTAGCCAATCAATAATGTTGGTCAGGAATGTCCTTTCTTGTTCTCTAATTGAGGAGAGCAAGGCACTAGCAGTGAAAGACTTGCCTAGGTCACAGATCTGGAAAGTAGAGTCTTCCAACTTTCCAATAGGGGAACCTATTCTTCCACTATTACTGTAGGTTGAGGAATTGCTTCCTCCAAGAGATGGCAGGGCTCTGGAGCATTTGTGAGCATTCCAGATGTCCTGGGAATAGCTCTCCTCCTCCTGGGGGCATATGTATTTCCTTCTGTCTCCCACAGATTACAGAGAAGGCAGTTGAATTGTCCTATTGTTCTGAGCATTTAGTTTAGCCTCTTAAAGGAACTTTTTTGTTAATAAGTGATGTTTGGAAATTATTGAGGTTAACTTATTGTATCAGTAACTTGCAAGCCTGTTGAATAAGGCTTCTCCAAACAGAGAGTAAGACCATCATACAGAATGGGGCTAATGAATCTTAAGAACAGGCCTCCCGAGTTACTCAAGAGGCTAAGAGCATTAGACAAGCATAGGGAGGAGGAGCTCAAACAGCTAATGGAGTACTACTCTCAAGGTCAAATACATTTTTCTTCTCCTCTTTCAAAACTGTGGTATGCCTGTGGGGTTTGCCCACTGGAGGAACTGGCACTGGGGTTCAGGAAGATTGCTAAGCTGTCTGCCCCTCACCACCCATCACTGAACAATGAACCCAAAAAACTCCATTGTCATCGGGTTGATTTCAACTCACTGTGACCCTACAGGACAAAGTAGAACTGCCCCATAGGGTTTCCCAGGCTGTAAATCTTTATAGAAGCAGACTGCCACCTCTTTCTCCTGTGCAGCAGCTGGTGGGTTGAAAGTGTCAATCTTTCAGTTAGCAGCTGAGCACCTAACCACTGGGCCACAAAGGCTCCTTCACTAAACACTACTGAAAAACCCAAATTCACTGCCGTTGAGTCGATTCCAACTCATAGCGACCCTTCTTGGGGATTCCAAGGCAAGATCTCTACGGAAGTAGATTGCCCAGTCTTCCTTCCAAGGAGTGGCTGGTGGGTTTGAACCGCCAGCCTTCTAGTTAGCAGTCAAATGCCTTAGGCACTATGCCACCACAGCTCCCTCACTGAACAATACAGATGATGAAATCAATACTCTAACATTTAGACCTCCAGCTCCTGCCACTGGAGAGCAAAATGTTGATACTTACCCAATGTATATAATATAAAGCATGAGTCAAAACACTTTGGCCCTGTTTCCTTTGACCTAATTGGGCTTCAAACTCCTCTGCCAGTACCTATCATCACCAGGAGAGCTGTAGAATACCCTCTTCTAACCACAAAAATATTCTGCCCTGTATTCATTCTCTCTAGATAATGATCAAAAAAGGGGCCAGGAAGAGTTGGTAGAGGAGAGAATATGTTACAAAGACAGTGCCTACCACATATGAAAGGCCCCAATTATAAACTGTATTACAACCTGAATCACTGTTTCATTTTTCCCTCCCCTGTTTTCTAATTATCTTTCTCTTACCTCTCACTTGACCCTAACTTTCTCCTTCAAGTCCCTTCAATGCCTAGGAAAGGACAACTCCACCCAAAAAGGAAAATATAGCATAAGAGAAAGCCCCAAGAGTCCAAGAGGGCCTTTATCCAGTGACTCTTGGGCCAAGTAAGCCTGGGTCCTGCCATCTCCTCCAGAGAACTCACACAATAGGAGAAACACCTCACACAGGTGGTGGTACCAACTAGCCCAGCTGCCAAGGTCTGTCTCACTCTGTATTTCCATCACCCCTTAAACCAGCAGGATCCTGAGAAAGGTGCAGGGCCCATCTTGATACAACTTTTTACCTGAGGGATAATGAATGGGAGTGGCTTGTGGGGAGAAGGAAAGGGGAGGCTGGGAGACAAGGCAGGAGGAAGAGGGGGCTGAGTGTTGATATAAGCTGTGTGTGAATCAAGGAGACCTCATTCTCCCACCCACCAGAAAATGCAGCCCTGTGTGTCTGGATTGGGGGTGGGGAGGTGGGGGAAATCTCCCACGGAGGATGGTTGTTTACCAAGGCCCGAGGCTCTAGCAACCTTAGGGAAACGGGGTTGTTATTTTTTTCCCCCCTCACTTTTCCAGTTTTGCATTTTTTTTAAATAGAGTTGGCAGTTGGAAAAGCCTGGAGGGTTCAGTGTAATTATCCTAAACAGTTAGGTGGCATCTATCAGTGAGAATGGTTATTTATTTATTTTCTTTTTTTTAAAAAAAGAAAACAAACTGCTACTATTTAAGCTCCAAAAAGGGAAAGTTTCCTGAAGTTCAAAAGCATGGTCTGACTCTCTCAACAGGCCCTCCTATCTATCAATGGCCTGGGCAGCTCTGGCTGGGGTTGGGCCTGAGCCCCTGAAGCAGGATTCGTGGGACTGGCCCTCATGAAGAACTAATCTCATTCGTCCACCTACAGCCATAAAAGGCAAGTGTGCACCTCAGGGTAAGGCACACTCCTCCACTCATCCAATTCTCCATCCCTAAGCTATGAGATTCAGACAATGGCCGCAGTCTGCCCTCAGGTGAGCTAACAGCTTGGTGAAAGGTCTAGTCACCCTGGTGTCCATCCCAGTTCCAGGGAGGAACTTACCTTACTCTGCTTTCTGTCCAGATAGAACTGGTGTTGGCTAATGGCCATAGCCCAAATAGATTTGATTAATGCTGGGCACGCATACCACGTATGCACTGCAATGCCACTGTGTCCAAACGTTCTCCTTGTCACTGAAGCCCTGGGGAGACAAGAAACAGAAGCTTCAACCATTTTGCAAGAACGTTCATTTATCAAACAACAGCTTATATCGAGAACCTACCGGATCCTAAAAACCCTGATATGAAGGTAACGGATCCGTTCACACACAGCTATAGGGACACAGACACATACTTAGTGAAACTGGAGGTATTTACTAATTCCTCAGGGTTCACACTCTGGCCCAGCCTCTGCCTTGTCTGGAATAGATGGGTCATTCTAGGTCACTGGATGGTCTTGACTAATCTTCAGCTCCTGGTTTGAGCCAACACAAATTTCAGAGACAGGAAAAACCCTTTGACAATGTCCTTCATTAACTAGGCAATGCTGCTTAGGGTGAAATGCACGCACTGCCATCGAGTTGATTCTGACTCATAGTGACCCTACAGGCCAGAGTAGAACTGCCCCATAAGGTTTCCGAGGCTGTAAATCTTTATAGAAGCAGACTGCCTCCTCTTTCTCCTGCAGAGCGGCTGCTGGGTTCGAACTGAACTTTTGGTTAGCGGCCCAGAGCTCTAACCACAGCGCCACCAGAGTGCCCTGCTTAGGGTGAAGGATGAGTAAATTCTTTTCTCATCACCACATCACCTGAAGAAATCATGACTTCTTATATTACTCTAACTCAATGTTCCTTGAAAGACATGGTTATTAATTTCAAATATATTCAGACAGCAGGACAGAAAGAAACAAGCCCTGGCACCAATCCCCCTGCATTTAAACCCCTGCATATATGTTGATATCAACATGGAGTAAAGAAAGAGGCAACAGACTTTAAAAACGGAGAACACAGGTCTCAACATAATCCACCACATTAGTGGGGTTGGGGGGTAGGGACAGTGTGAAGAAAAGAGTTATATGACCATATTCTCAGTGAACTATATCTTATAAACAGATTGTTTAGAAAGTGAAATCTGAGCACAGGGTATGTGTGTATGTGTAGGGCAAAGTGACAGAACTGGGGTGGGGTCTGGATATATGGACTGTATGTCAGAAGAATATGTGTTCTTAAGATTGAAATATCTAATTTGGAAGAAATTGGAGGAAATGAAGACTTGCGAATACTGGCATTTTTTTTCAGGACATATTTTCCCTTGAAGAAAATTTAAAGTGGTTACTATTATCTTATTTTGGGAGCTAAGGATTTAACAGCAGGTCTTTTTTGTACCCACTTTTAAGGAAGACTTCAAATCTAGTGGTTAGTTCATGACAGTAGGCAGGTCTTTCCCCCTGCTTTGGTTAAAAATAAACTAAAATAAAATAAGCAGCAAATTCATGAAAGACCACACAGTTGAAAGAAAAATAACTAAAAAGGGGCCCAAGAGAAGTAGGGAGGAAACTCCCCCACACAAGTTGCTGCAGATTTAAATCAACCTGTGATTTGAACACCCAGTTTGGCTTCCATAGGAATCGTTGTTCCTGGGAGTAAACAAATTTTATTCCCCCTGTTGTTGTTGTTGTTGTTATTTGCCATCGAGTCGGCCCCGACTCACAGCGACCCCTCCTTGGGTTTCCGAGGCAGTATCACTACAGAAGTAGGAATGCCCAACCTTCCTTCCGAGGAGTGGCTGGTGGGTTTGAACCGCCAGCCTTCTGGTTAGCAGTCAAGTGCCTTAGGCACTATGCTACCAGAGCTCCTTTGTTCCCCCTAGATAAGTTGAATTTGAAAGGAAAAGTAACTTGAAATGCATTTTCATAAAGGGGGAGAGAGTTGTAAGAGGCTAAAACCAAAACCAAACCAAATGCACTGCCATCGAATCGGATCCGACTCATAGCGACCCCTCCTTGGGTTTCCAAGGTGGTATCACTACGGAAGTAGATTGCCCAACCTTCCTTCTGAGGAGTGGCTGGTGGGTTTGAATCACCAGGCTTCTGGTTAGCAGTCAAATGCCTTATGCACTATGCTACCAGAGTTCCCTGTAAGAAGCTAGGTGTTGCTATTTCTTAGGTAAGGTGAGTGAGGATGAGTTGTGAGGCTTCTCAGCTCTCCGAAGTTCCACAAGAGCATCTAAATCAGACACACTGATAAGAGTTTTTCTCTTGGCTCCATTATTAATTTATCTCTTCCACTCATCTTTCCCTTCAGGCCCTTCCCACCACACAGCCTTTTCTATTTTGCCTTAGCCTTGGAAACGTAATATATGCCAACTCTAAAGGAGGACTCGGTGGTTCAGTGGTAGAAATCTTGCCTTCCATGTGGGAGTCCCAGGTTTGATTCCTGACCACTGCACCTCAAGGGCAGTCACCACCCATCTGTCAGTGGAGGTTTATGTGTTGCTCTGAAGCGGAACAGGTTTTAGTGGTTTCCAAACTAGGATGAACTAGGAGGAAAGTCCTGGTGATCTACTTCTGAAAATCATCCAATGAAATCTTTATGGTTCGTAGCATCTCATTGTACGTGTTGCTATCAGCTGGGGACAGACTTGACAGGTGCTAACAACAACAACACAGAACCCCAGAAACAAAGGCAGGCATCAAATTAGGATGTTGGGGAGAACAACTCTACAGCATCTTCTGTGTTCCGCATGGAAAAGACAAGAAGGGATGTGATCAAACATGTGACCAATCAACTCCGAAAACACTCTTCACAGTGAATGATTCCCCTGTAATCACAATTTCCCACTGATTACATCTTAATGAAATAATTACATCTATTAGTATTTCCCATCCTATGACTTGGGTTCTGGCTCCTTTTCTTTTTTTGAAGGGAGAGGCTGACTCCTAAACGCCATCCCAACGTATGGACAATTAATCTTCCCTCGTCCAAAGAAACATGGCGACAAGCAATGGGACAATACAGCTAATTTCAAAAGCAACATTAGGAAATGAAAAAAGCACTCGCTGCACTGGGAGTCAGAAGACCTGGTTTAGAGTTTTGACTCTGTCACTAGAGTAAGTAGTTAAACCAAAGGCAAACCCATTGCTGTGAAGTCATTTCTGACCCATGACAAACTCATGTGTTTCAGAGTAGACCTGAACCCCACAGGGTTCTCAGTGGCTGTGACCTCTCAGGAGGAGATCCCCTGGTCCTTCTTGAGGCACCGCTAGGTGAACTCAAACCAACAACCTTTTGGTTAGTAGCTACCAAGCACTGAACTGTTTGTACCACCCAGGGACTTCTAAATTAAGCAGTTAGCCTTAAACAATTGACTTCCCTTGTCTCAATGTACATTTGGAAAAGGTATCTTTAAAGCTGTAGTCAACTTGGGTTTCACCTTTGACATTAGGTAAGTCACCTACCCTGGGTCTCTCTACCTGCCACCCCTCACTCTAACCTACCTGTTTCTAATAACATGGGGGATTTAGGGCCATTTTGTCTCAGAGGGCATTTCCTCTGCCCAGGTGGCTTCTGGGATCCTACTCTTCCTTCTCTCTACTCCAGACAATCTCTCATCTCTTTGTCTCAGTTGAAGAGTATCATCTGCATTTACCTGACTGGCACCTTTGCTCACCTGGAGGGCCTGCCACATCTCTTTAAATCCTAGTTACCCTTTGAGGTTTAGCTCAGAACCTCTCCTCATCAGCTGTTCCTGATAAGCTGGCTTCTGGCATTTAGGGGCTGTGTCATTTGGCTCTTAGTACATTCTGCTTCGTATATAGTATACAGGTAAAGAGCATGTGCTTCAGAGCCAGCCTTCCTGGGTTCAAATCCTGGCTCTTCCACTTACTAACTATCTGTAACAGAGAGCAGGTCCATCTCTCTGTACCTCAGTTTCCCACAGTAGAATAGGAATAATGGCAGTACCTATTTCCTGGGGTTATGGTGAGGATCCAGTGAGAGAATGTGTATAAAGTGTTTCTAATGATGTCTGAACATGGTAAATGTAAGTTCCTCCTTCTGCATGTCTCCCCAACTATGCTGTTCTTTAAGGGCAGAAGACCCTGTTTCAGACATTTTTCTGTACCCCACTGACACAGTACCCTGTACACAGAAGCTACTTAGTAAGTATGAGATGGATCATTTTTGTTTAAAAGGCTAAAAGCCCATTTAATAGTAATATGTGAGGTTTGGAGCCCATGGGTTGGGTGAACAGTTAATAAGCTTGGCTAAACAAAAGGTTGGAAGTTCGAGTCTACCCAGAGGTAGAAAACAGGCCTAACAATCTGCTTCTCGAAAATTAGCCATGAAAAAGACTATTGAGCACAGGTCTACTCTGACACAAGTTGGGTCAACATGATGGCAACTGTTTATATCAAGTTTGGACCCTTTCCTATGTCCCTGGGTCTTGGGAAAGGGAATGGAACAGAGTATTACATCAGACGATAATGAACCTAGAAAACACACCTTCTCTCTCTCCCACATACATGCGCAGATGAGTGCATGCTTGCATGCTCTTTAAGGATTTGTCCAAGGTGCCTCTGAATTAGCAACTTCTCAACAGAGCACAGACATGGGGATGCTGTCCATGCTTATGCCCATCCCTTCAGATGATCCAATTTTTCACTTTTTTTCCATCAACCATCCCCTTTCTTTTCACTGTGATGAAATTCTTTTTGCTCTTTTCACTCTCAAGTTTTCCCTCTTTAACACATATCCCTCAGAATCTGGGCCCAAACTGTTCACTTGGAAAAATAACTGTAAGTTCCTTTTTGGCTACAATATTATGTTCAGCATGTATCACTCCCCACTGGCCTGTACAAATGGATTCTCGCTCTGCAGAGGCAGGGTCTTCGGACCCTGAAACCCTTCACAGGACCCAGGGAATGCTAAGGAAGCTTTTTTTCTGCGTGATACGACTGTCTTTGCTTTGCTTGATGTGAGAGACACAGACTCTCTAAATGTTTTCCTTAGATCTAGTTGCCCAGTCGTCTGTGTGGCACGGGATAAGCTCTAACCCCACAAAAGGAGTGGCTATTTCATACAGATTGCACAGTGGGAGCATCCCGTCAGCCTGCTTGGTTATCTAGGGCCGCAGGAACACAGATTATACTGCAAGGGCGTGAACCTGTTTGCTGGAGGGCAACGTCTTGCTCTTGGGATGAGATCTCCATGGGTGGCACAGCAGCTTGTTCTGAGATGCTCAGAAGCCATGTGTGGGATGAAGCTGGTGCCGGACTCCTTTCTAAGGCCACAGCTGGGCGTCAACAGTGTCAAAAATCCACTTTTACTCCTTATGAAGTGTGATCTTTCTACTGCCTTCCCAGGGCTACTTTCTTCTTGTAAAACTGTATACGAGACTATAAAAGTCCAGGTGTCAGACCTGTTTTTAGGGAATTTTGATACTGTCTATGGGCTTCATCTAATTGCAGGACAGCTAGCAGACAAAGACAAGGAAAGCAAAGCAGTGGTATGAGCTGCCCAGAGCCCCTTCCATGCAGGGCATGCTGCATTCTGCACGGGACCCTATTGTTTGGCATCTGGCATAAAGAACATAGACTTTTACACTCATGTTCTCTGGGATACAATATTGGGGCAGGGGAGAGAAAAGGAATTCAATTTCTTTCACATCCACCCACAACTCTAACACCCTAAAACCACAGCTGGTGGAATAAAACCATTTTGCACAACTGCTTCCTCCACAGATCTGTTTAGTGTTGCCCGGTCCTGCCTGAAACACTCTCAGAAACTCCGTCAAACAATCAGCTCCTCTTTTGCAAAAACTTGCTACAAGGACTTCGACACCCCCCTGCTTCATTGGTGTTGGTTACAAAGTGTTCTAAAACCTCCATAAGATGTCCTGCCATGCAGGACAACTCTCCACACACAGCCCATAACTCATGCAGTCAGACTAGGAGGTCACGGAATTGCTAATCTCTCACTCTCTCTCTCTCTCTTATACACATGCTCGAACCCACTGTATTTAGCAACATACACAGTACAAAACAAAGGTTTACTTCTGATTTGAACTCTATTCTCCATGATCAATTGTCCTCCCCCCTACTCCCCCAAATGGAAAAGGAACGATAATAGCACAAAACATATGAATGTAAATGACATGCCAGGCTAGAGCCCTGTAAGTTCCATGCACTTTGGGTAAGAAAAGGAGACTTTTCTACCTTACCTGCGTGGGTCATGAACTTCCACTGAAAACTTCTTTTCTCTGAAATACAGGTTTTCCAACTGTCTCCATTGGAATATCTGGGCAGAAGACAATTCAGTTTCAGTTGAGGAGCGGTTGGTGCAGGCAGTATTCCTCCCTTTGCTGGTTAACTTCTATGACCAGCGCTTTCCTTATCAAACCAGAGACCGTACAGTTGTTTGCTGTCTCCTCTGCCTCATGCTTGAAATATACACACACACACACACTTGCCACTTCAAAACAGGGCAATGTGGGTGTGGATTTTCCTGCAGGTCTCTTAACGGGAACAAAATAAGTTCCTTTCAAGTTGTTCCCCTTTGGCTCGCCTTTGTTTAATTCTCCAAGACAGTTCCTAGCATTGCAGACTTTTCCCTCCAAGGAGAGGGAGTGCCGGGGAGTGAGGGAGCAAGCAGAGGGGAGGGCGGGTGGTGGTCGAGGAGAAGGAGAGAGAGCGAAGGCGCTCTCAGGAGGCAGCGGTAGCCATCTGCATGTAGTGCTGAACTGAGCTTCCTCCTCTCGAGTGCTGAAATGGGAAGGCGTTCAAATTCCCAGCCTCCCATGGGACTCCACTTCCTGCCCATTAATGTGTAAGCGCCTCCGACTCGCCCTGGTGATTCGAGCAGCCCACAGGGCGGAGGCTGCTGTGACCTTATTTCGGGGTAGGCAACTCAAGATAACAATATGAGCCTGTCAAGCCCATTCTTCTTTCTGCAGCACAAAGAAAATCAAGAATTTTGTTTCTGGATGGACGCTACAGCCAGAGGCTGCTAGAGGCTTGAGCAGGGAGGGTTAAGAGTGGGATTGAAGCAGTTCTGGAAAGCTGATGGTGGGGAAGAGAGCTCCAGCTGCTGCCCGCTGGGCTCACTCAGGACCCCTTGGTCCTTCCTCCTTCTTCCAAGTGAAAATAGCTAACTAGGATTGGCAGTAATGCTTAGAATCATTAGGCCTGCATCAGTTGCTCTAGGAATGGGGTTTCTTTCATGCGATGAAAGATAAAGTTACTTAACCCTCTGGGAAATGTCAGAAGACATTTATATTTGGTGGATGTTGTATCACCTTTAGTATACTTAGAATTTGAGTTCATCTTGCAGAGATGAGGTAGAACAGGAATCCTGCTCTTGCCTTTCCCCTGGGAGTAGCTGGTCTCTCACTGGAATCTCCCCTCTCTTTGCTCACTTGAGGCATATGCATTTTGGGGTCTCATCTCAAACCCAGAGTCCTGGCATCTGGCGCTCTTTGTTTTCTCTGACCTGCTCACTTTTTCTCCACCTTAAAGACTCAACAATTTCTGGGCCTCAGATCAACCCCACCTTCCCAGGTCCAGGACACTCCTAGTCAATGGTTGGCCACATGACTCCACCCTAAGTAAAGCTGGGCTGGAATAAAGAATTACTTCTAGAATAGCTGCATTCTTTTATCTCCACAACCTGCTCTGCAGAATTTAAATTATTTTGTTTATACTGAATAAGCAATAAGGAGGAGCGTGTCTATTATGTCTTATTCTTTTGTCTGCAGCTCAGAGTCCGTTTTACTCTGAAGAGCAAGGAACATTGTACTTTTCTTCCTCCATTCCAACCAAGTGGGTGGAGAGACAGTTCCAGGAAAACAAATGACCCAAAGCCCTATACTGGCTTAGACGCCTTCGTGTCTTGTTGTGGATCAAATGATGCCTTAGAGCCTGAACTATTCAAATACACAGGTCTGCATCTGATGCTCCTATTTGATGCTCGGCTACTCTGAATCCTCCAATGAAAGCACCCGAGTGCCTCTCTGACCCTGGTTGTTAGATATTAATAGACATTCCAGCTGAACTTAGCCACAGCCACAAAATGCACCAGAGCTAACATTGGTGCCATACTCCAGAGGTAGCAAATAGAAAAAAGAAGTCACACGCACAGGCTTTGGAGTCTGATGGTAATGGTTTGAATCCAGTCTCCCCCTAATACTAAGATGCTTTCCCTTAGGTAAGTTTCAGCATTGCTTTAAGTCTCAGCTTTCCCATCTACAAAATGGCAATAACGGCCCCTCTCAGGCAGGTAACGCCACGTGCGTGAGAAGTACGTGCGTGAGAAGTGAACTATATCAGGAGCAGCAGATCTTTAGCATAGTGTCAGGCCCATGGTAAGCACTCTCAACGAATGCTGTTATTCCTAATTGTTCTCCCAAACTCTGGCAAATAAAGAGAATAATTCTAGAACTGCCATAATAATTTTTCTCTTAAATTTCTTAGGTCCACACTTTGGGGTTTTAAAAAAGAATTTCATATTTGTGTGGTGGAAATCTTTAGGTAAGTGTACAGAATTATTCTCTCTCAGTCCTTTTCTTCCAAAGAAAGGGGTGGAGAGTAGATGCTGGATTCCATGGGGAGCCTCCCTTCAGTACCCGCCTTGCACAGGGCTTCATGGGTGTGTGATCTGTGCAGTTGCACAGGGGCCTGTGCTCAGAAGAGCCCCATGCTTGGTTTAATGCTCTGGTGCCACCAACATGAAATTCTTAACACTGTTTCAGCAAGTGTCCCTGCATTTTCATTTTGCATTGGGTCCTGAAAATCAGGTAGCTGGTCTTGGCCTTGGAAGATGTGCTGGTACTGGCAGGCTCTATCCTGGGCTCAGTAAGTAGCATCTGGGATACAGTATCTACCCCAAGGGAGATTGGCTTCCCAAGCCCTCCATGAGCTTTCTCCTCTCAGCCAGGAGGAAAGAAAGCAGAACCTGGCATGATTATGTTTGAGCAAACCTTACTCGTGCCTTTCATCTGAAGCCCCTCCCTGCCTGATGAAAAACCCCAGAGCCTACTGTTGGAAGTAGTTGTTTCCCTGGCAACTCCTCTTCTCCCTCTACTCCATGTAAAATCAAACACAAACCAAGCCTTTTCTTTAAGTAAGGTGCCTGGAGCCCTGGTGGTGCAGTGGTTAAAACACTCGGCTGCCAACTAAAAGGCCAGTGGTTAGAACCCATCAGCTGCTCCTCAGGAGAAAGATGAGGCAGTCTGCTTCTGTAAAGATTTACAGCCTTGGGAACTCTATGGGGCATTTCTACTCTGTCCTATAGGGTATCTATGAGTCTGAATTGACTTGACAGCAGTGAGTTTGTTTTGTTTTCCTTTAAGTGCTCCCTGATGCTGGCTGGTGTGGAAAGCCCCTCATCTGCCAAAGGGCCCAAACAAAACCATCTGGGCTCTCCTGTGCACTTCTCCCCCGCCACTGCCACTATAGCTGCCAGTGGGAAGGTTCTGCCCACGACTTCTGCCCTTGGCGCTGAACCCTGAAGTCCTGGCTCCCAGGCATCTCTCCCTAGGACGATTTACTGTCTGTAGATGTTTTTGTTACAGGGTGTAAAGCAGGGGGTTTTCCTTGATGTCTGTTCTAAGCAGGAATCTTCTTCTTTTATTTTTCCCCCCCGCAAATGAAATAGTAGGGAGGGTGGGAGTGAGTGGAATGAATGGGCAGTTTTTTCGGGACAGGGTTGTTGCAGTGGGACAGTAGAAGGGCCTGAGGAATCTTCAACGCTGACCTGATCCTTTCTTCCATATTTAGGGGAGATAGAGGAGGCTGGGCAATTTGGAAAGCAAGAGTATGAGGGCAGGGGGGACAAAGAGAGGGATGGGAACAGCAGTCCTAGTGCAGAGAGGAGGGCCTTTGCTACAAGGGCCTCAGGCATTTGCTCTTCCTGAGGGTCTGGGGTGTTTTTGCCCACAGTGCCCTGGTGCCCTGCAGTTGTGCTAAATACCACATTTCTGTGGCAGATTTGCAGTGTAAAAACAGTAAGCCAATAAACAAAGACACTAGACCTTTCCTCCCCTTTCACACTGGGAGCTTCCTAAGCCGGGATCCAGTTAAGCTGGTAGCTATGTTGTCTGTGTTTCTCAAGAGCAGCCGTCTCCCTGGCCTAGAATGGCCACCGGTGCAGCCATCAGGACCTTGCCACCAGGTCCAGATGCCAATGTAGGACACAGCAGACACACACCTGATAGTAATTATGAATAGGCTGCTCCATCAGGTTTTGTATAACTTTCTTGGCTAATTATGCCCAAGAAACTAATTAAAAGGTAAAATAGGCAGTTCTATCAATAATTAAAGGATTTATTAATCAATACCTATTAAATCAAGGCCTTTCCAATGAACTTCATCAGGGCATCTTTAACAAGCTCTGTAAAGGTCTTTTCTTTGATCTTTAGGCATCCCCCAACAAGACTTAATGGGAAATTTTCTTCTTGGGGGAAAAGGAGGCCAAAGAAATTAGGGAAAAGTGCCTAAGGCCACACAGCAAGTTAGCGAAGGAACCAGAAATAGAAGTCAAGGGCACCTGGTCCATTACTCTAACCTCTAACTATGTCTCCTTTCCACATGGGTCCTCCAATTAGTGGGAACAGTTCTCTTACTCACTAATGGGTGGTTAACTTTAAAAGTGGAATGAGTTTTATAAATGAACAACAATGTAGGACAATGAACTCTATATAAGTTTTATAAATGAACAACTCTAAGTAAACCAAAAAACCAAACTCACTGCTGTCAAGTCGATCTTGACTCATAGTGACCCCTCCTTGGGTTTCCGAGGTGGTATCATGCCGGAAGTAGATTGCCCAACCTTCCTTCCAAGGAGTGGCTGGTGTGTTTGAACCTCCAGCCTTCTGGTTAGCAGTCAAGTGCCTTAGGCACTACACCACCAGAGCTCCTACAACTCTAAGTAGGAAGTGTAAAATCAAATCTTTTTAGTCCTGCAAAATGGCTTTTCTCACATTTTATACTATAAATGATAGTAAGTATGAATTCCTTCTCTTCTTGGAGACTTAGCATCCTCTAGTTTCTACACACAGAGTCATAAGTGGATTTCGATCAAGGAGTAACAACTACAATACAGACAGTCCCCTGGTTACCATGAACCATGATGAACGGACAACTCATACATTAATGTCATGTAAATCTGCCCTCACTTTTAAACGATTGAAACTACCCCTACTTGCATCAAATTCTTTATCACAATCACCTTCACCTGGTGCGCATGCAGGTTTTAAATCATTGAAAAGGCTTTGAGCCTTTTCTTGTACTAAAATAAACAAA